GGTATTGCTGCTGGAAAGAAGTCGTAAATGGGGCATAGATACACCCGGACTGTAGGCAGAAAGAACCTAAATGTCATTTCATAGTCATAGACTTTATAGGACAATAGAATATAATAGAATTTTATTCATGTCCCTACTGAGTCTATGACTATGGGGGACTTTACAGGACAATAAACACATACAAACAAATTCAAACAAACAGTGAAAATTGTAAAAATGCATTGCTGACAAGGGCAAACAAGATATCAAAGGAAGCATAACTATAAAAATTCTTCATCCAATTATCTTTCAGGTCAATCAAGCTAGATTAGCCTTTAGCTGTTATAGCATTGTCCAGAGCTGACCTTAGGCTAGTGGAGCTTTTGTCACGGAATAGATTTGAATTTTCGGTCGGAAATATACACGTGTATGTGTACTTAAAGGTTCTCTCGATGATCTGATGGTTATTATTCTTCTTAGAACCAGGCGTCTCAGCATTATGGGTGACACGGCGAGCTTCACTAAGGCACGTGACTGCCTAACTATCAATTCGTTGTAATCTCCACCTCGGGTCTTTACACATTCCCAAATAGTGTTACGACAAGATTAGAATTTAATGAAGTCCCGAATGGGTCTATTATTTTGAAGGACTGTTAAAACTATCTAGATAGCCTTAAAGCTCAACGGTAAGTATGAAAATTTACACAGTTAATATTTTCTGATGGATACCGAGGGTCATGCCCTTTTAGTCGTGTCACGGATTAGATTTTTATTTTAGTCCCTACCGAGTCTAAGACTATGGGGTTTTTGTGTCACGGAAATTTACAACTTTTGGACCAAAATACGGAATAAAACTTGAATTAAAATATTGTACAGCTGACTAGGTTTCAGTGTACTCAGATCTACTTATTAAGCAACTATTGTTTCTTTGTCTATGCTTTTATGGGATACCTAGAACTTCTCTGTTGGAAGAACAAGGAACCCTTTGCAGCCCCTCACAATCCTCATTCGATCGTGTAATTGGAGAAGCCCTATGCCCTTCATTTTCTTCTCTCCAGTTAATGAAAAGGTCAGTTTTGCGTGCATGGCAACCGAACAAATACACAAAAGCCAATGCGCGCTCGGCTCCCATAATAGCGACATCGAGACTAAATTCAAAGACATAGCTACTCTTCTAATTTTTTTTCGGAGAGGCCGGCCAGCCGGGTGCTGTAGGCCTGTATGTACCTAGGATAAGTACTCTCCACCTTTTTGGCCTCCTTTCATCTCCTTCCGTCGGTCGGACTTGGTGACAAATTGTATATTGTGTTGGCACATGAGGATTTCAACAAAAAATTTCTTGTCTTCTAAAAAAGCTAAGCCTAAGTTCTTTGTGAAATCTTAGGTGGTGAGGAATGCCGTAGAAGTACTGACGATATAAACTTTTTTGGCCGTTTTCGGGCTTGATCTCGGCTCTATCAACACTTCATTGAGACCTGTAGGCTGATAGTTGACCCCTTTGATACATAGTCTTTCACTATCCCACATCTAGAGCAAAGATTAAAATTTATAAATCTTAGTTTTGGTGCGCTACTAGTACCTAAATTGCGAACTCATTCAGATCGTGCATTTTACTATTGGGACACATTTCTTGTGCGGCCCAGGCCTGGGTGCAGTAGATCTCTTTGAAATCAGAGTTTGTTCCGACCAATATTCCACCTAAGACCAGCATGGGGAACTAGTCGGGATTGACTTTGCTTTGACGCAGCTGAGACAAGATAGAGATGAAAGGTTGTCAAAAGGTGGCGTCTCCGCGAATTACACGATATACTTTGTCCTCGGGTCTGGAAATTGTCGAGGATGAGCTTCCCTGCTTCGCGCACAAATCTAGTAAGGATCAACTCATTTTTATTACCCTGCGGCCACCACGCATGGAAATTAGCTTTACATATATGTCATTTAGGTAGATCTCGGAATCCCGGCCATCCCAGCTCTTGCCCGCCGTAAGACCCTGATTCGAATAGAAGCCTGTGAAAGATTGTTATATGCTCAGCGGCTAGAGATTACGCCGTGGTCATGTCATCCAGATGCCTCCCCATTACAAGGCGCTGCAACAATCGCACTGATTAAACTTATCAAGCTAAATGAAATTCGTCAGCCCAGGGACGATATGAAATGTATGTGTACATGGTATGAAGATAAAAGGAAAAACAGGGATGAATAGATCCTCGTCGCTTGCAGGATCGAGAAGTATGAGGCAGGACGGATTAGAGTGGAGTGAAATGGGTAAGTTTTAGTTTTTAGATTATACACGTGAAGGGAAGTTGAAAACTCCGAGTAGAGCGATAGGGGTAGCAGCTATTCTCATCACATGACCACCGATTGAAGCAATCTAAATTGAGCTATAGTGGGTGTTGTGAGGTCATATATTTACGCTTCATCATGATAAGAAAGCTATCCCACACAATTACCCTATATGTAAATTAGCTAGTAGCAGCAGAGCGATAAGTAGCGTGCAAGCTCCAGAGCTGCACAATCGAATGAGGCATGGTGCCCGTCATTATGCGACTGGTAATCCCTAGGAGAGGGACATTGGTAAGCCACCGCTCGCTTTTGACTATTTACCGCGTATCTTCTAATCATATCAATCATGATAATCGTGCTCACGATGTTCAGGCCTTCCTCATTTTCATGTTAAATTTGGATGAAAAATCTTGAAGTTCTTCCATGTAATCCCACCCTCTTCATCCAACACTGACTTTCGGCTTAACGTAGCCCATGGTCACAATGAACAATGAGCCCCTAAATTGTACTTCACTTGTTATTTGCGATGAAAGTCAGAAATCTGTAATTTTTAGGACATCACAATGCAGCTCTGTTGCGTATTTCTGTCACTTTGTGCACAACCTTTTGACATTTCTCGTCTTGATCGCAATCCCTTATCCGATTTTCACGACATGCATGATCTCTGGACCGTGGCAGGCCGATGTGGATGGAGAACCTGACAGATGGAATTAAAGGGTGTGGCACCGCAAGATCAAGGCTCATCAAATGTGGGACGTGCTCATCCGACAAACCTACATAAAGGCGCACAGATGTTTTTCGAATTAGCACATCGTATTTACGCTGCATTCGTATCAAACTATGCATACTTCGAACTTTTACTGTTGTTCGACGTAATAAAAGATGTGAAAAAACTCACCTCTACCAGTTTGAAACATACGACGGCTATCGCCCGAAAGTTGTTCAGAAAATTCGGCCTCGCTGGGAAAGGCTTACAAATTTATCCAACAACACTCGTTCCATCCCTATCGTAAAAGCGAAAAGGAACGAAATCTAACTCGTGATTCGGCTTGAACTTTTCACCTATTATATCATGTGATTTAGAACCGTTCAACACGGCCCTCAGTAAAATTTTAGGTATCTCGCTGCTCCCGAGAGATTAGACAGACAGGCCTTCAGGAAATACTGAAATTTAAATGTATCAAATGGCTCTGTGACACTGGATCCAATGAGAATAGGTAGCTGTCATGGATAACAAATCTTTGATAGTGTCTATACAGTAATGTTCTGCACTCACCGAGAGGTGCCATTTTAAAGCAGCACCTTATTATTATCGGGTAAGAAAACTAAAAATGAATATCATGAGAAAATCATTATGCTGCCTCCCGTCAACCTAGTACTTTAATTTATATCTTCTAACAGCAAGCAATAACGTGTTGAAGACGCGAATTCGACGATGAGCGGATCGGTGTATCACGTAAATAAATTTTGTATGGGAGCTGTAAAGTCTTGTGTTGAGAGATGTGAACTCCTAGTTGTTCCACAATTAATGGTAATTCTCTATGGGCTTTGTATGACTATATTTAATCCGTGCTAAGCCAATTATTGCTGCTAAAATGTAAGTATAGTTAATACAATATGAAATGAAATGAAACGACACTCACAGGATTAAATAGACCTTCAATCGGTGGACTTGTAAATGTACTAGCTCACGATTCCTGCGCAGGTTGATTCATTTCAAATATTGTGCTATCGTGTACTAAGTGCAGGTCGGTGAGTGGTTGGAATGGAAACGACGGGATTAAATGACCTTGACTAGTGCTGAATTTTGAACCCTATTGAGCTGCATTAGCTGCATTTCTAACACTCACATGCCTCGTAGAATTGGTGGCCTTGTCAAAGTACACTCAATATTTCATGAATACAAGTTTGTCGTGCATTTCATCACCCTAGTGACATTACGCAGCACTTAACCGGCAGTGGTTTAATCAGGGTCAAATGGCAAAACGATTTACCGGTAATGCGCAGAAGATTTATTGTGTTGAAAGACTTGCGCGGATGCGTTGATCTCATCGGTGTGCGAGTCATGAAAGAAAGCAGGGCCGATTTAAATATTTTCACATTTCCAAAGTAAAGTATGAACCTAATTCACCGACTCCCTTCAGATAGGATTGTTTTTTAGATCTTGTGGTAGATAGGAACTGGATTAGACGTCGCGAAGTATACGTCCATCTGGAAAAATTAATCCCAGTAGGCTCCACCAGCCCTACGCCAAATAGGGGTTTAAAATTTCAGTTTGAAGCTTCAAAATAAAAACAAACGAAATAAAAATATCATCATATAAAGACTGGGATGACCTCCATAATGGACATGCACCTACTCCTGCCCAATCTCATTCACCCCCGCTCCACACAAAATGAATGGTTAGCCCCCGTAACTCGACCTTCTTCCTATCAGCTCGACCGGGACCGTTGGCTATACCCTACACTTGTTTGGATCTATTCCTTCGAAATTAAATTGCAGATCTGATCACTGCTGGTATCCATCTTTTGATTACGGTCTATAAACTCACATATCTATTTTGCTCACGCCTTCATGGCCTTAAGAACAATTAACTCATGCAGGAATTAACATTATTATTTCCCGTTGATCAAGCAGAGTTCAGCTAGGGCATCAGTGTCCGAGGTGTGGCACGACCTTGAACCCCTAAGCACGACCGACACGCTCTGATACGCACAAGTTCCCGCTCCTTTGCCTTTATGGTCCCCAACGCCACGCAATCCGAAACGTATCGTGCCACAGCGAGTGTGCGGCGGCTGTCGATGCTGGGCTCGTCAGCTGTCACCTCTATCAATCAAATACAGATGCGTCCGACTTCCCCTGAAGTGATCTCCAGCCTCATCACATCGTTGTCAAGCATTAGAACATCACAGGCATTGGACCAGAGCGTCCCGTCGCCGCACGATTCGCTACCTTCCCCGCATCCTAAACCAGCTGCTAGAGGACAGCTTCTTTCTCAGACTTATGGTGATACGTGCTCCACAATTGCAGATTTCGAAATTGACAACAATCTATATCATAACTCTGCCATGCAACGAGAGATGTGGGGAGAAAACTCACTAGATGATTTAGCGGCATCACCGCCAGTCATAAGGACAGGGAAATCTCCATCGTGCCACCCCGTTACTCTTATGCCTAAGGTGCCGCCGCAAAATTTCTCTTCTCTAAGAAACTTATTTGGATCCAAATCAAGACCATCTTCGAGACCTTCTTCCAAGGACTCTGACCTGATTGAGACTAGGAGTATTGGTAATTTAAGTATCGAACCTGGATATGTGTCCTCCGAATCGAGACGTGGGTCGACAGACACATGGGGAAAGAGACAGAGGCGGTTAATTTATACCAATTCAAAAGAAAAGCTCCGCGGACAGGAACAGGAACGAAAGAAGTGTTCGACTGCTAATGGTGACATTCGAAGCGGACGGAAACGACTCAGTACAACTTCATCTTTCATGGACCAGAATGCGATCGGAGAAGAATTCGAAGCAAGTTGCGATTGGGGTGCAGCGGATCTCAATGTTACCATTCCAAAGCGAGAATCTTCTCTGCTGAACCCCAAATTCTCCACGCAAATTCCACCTAGACCAAGTCAGACAAAAGTACGCGAGGTAAAGACTGAAGCGTCAGTCCCTCACTATGATAATCATGAAGTTTGCGCGAATGAGGTAGCAGGTAACGAAACAACCTCTGCGGCTCATATTCAGTATTTGGAAACAGTGGATTATCTTCTTACAGACCATCCATCGTTGCTATGTAAAATTCAACCGAAATCATCTCCACCATCACCACTATCAGACACGGACCAATCATTAACAAACCAAGCCGGTCCAGATATGATTGTTCCAGAATTAATCCCCAACTTTCGGAAATCTCGAAGATCAGGAAACTCGAATTCATCCAGACAAACGCGGAATTCAAAAGTCGTTGCCGCTGAAACAAATATAGTAGATGAGCGTCCATCAAGCGCTGATTCCATAGATCATGACGTCGAGGAGTACGTCTCTTCCCCTAGGCTATCGCAGAAAATACGGCATCCACAAACCGGAAGAATAATATCGTTTTCAGAAGTTGGCGATGCTGAAGGGTTCGCAGTTTTCTGCTGTGTGGGCATGGGTCTGACACGTTACATCACTGCATTTTATGATGAGCTAGCATTAACGTTGAAACTCCGCCTTATCACTCCAGATCGCCCCGGAGTCGGAGGTAGTGAGCCCTATGCCAATGGAACAGCTACTCCCCTAAGCTGGCCAGGTATGCTTAACATTTCCCCAATTCAAATATAACTAACAAGACCTAGACGATGTGTATGCAATATGTCAAGCGCTTAAAATCACAAAATTCTCAATACTAGCACACTCAGCAGGGGCTATTTACGCTTTAGCAACTGCCCTTCGTATGCCCCAACACATTCGTGGACGTGTACATCTTTTAGCTCCATGGATACCTCCCTCTCAGATGAGCGTAATAGGTGGTCAAGTTGGCATGCCACCAATTCACTCGCTTCCTACTTCACAACGTATTTTACGAGCCCTTCCCACACCTTTCTTAAAGGCTGCCAACTCTAGCCTAATGGGTGTTACGCGTAGCTCTATGACAAGTAGTCTTCCTAAGCAACGTCGCGTCAAGAGAAGGTCAATGGGACGCGATAGTTCTGGGCAACCTGTTCGCAACTCTGCTTCACCTGGCATAGAAAGAGAAACAGTAACGAGAAACTCTCTGGGGTTTTTGGATGCAACAGAGATGTCATTTCGCAACTTGAACGTTACAGATCTCGATTCTGATGCTGCTATTCTGGCAGCAGCCGCCAACACGCTTGCAGTCCAAGAGCGGCAGAATATATACGAGTCCAGACTTACAAACGCCATCTGGAATTTGGCAACCCAGGGTGCTAATCCAGCGATTGACTTACTTGTTTGTCTAGAAAGAAGGCACACTATTGGCTTCAGATATGTTGATATTACACGATCTGTTGTGATTCATCACGGTAGCAAGGATACTCGAGTACCTCTAGAAAACGTGAGGTGGATGGGCAAAACAATGAAGAGATGCGACGTGCGTGTTCTCGAGGGCGAGGGTCACAGCTTAATGGCATCTGCTTCAATTATGAGTAGTATACTGACGGAGATAGCGATGGAGTGGGAAGATTGGATGAAAGTCACGAGTATAACGTCTGGGCATCGAGGCGAGGGAAAGCCAAGGTCGTCGAGAGAAGTTACTAGCGCAGGAGTTCTATAATTTTTTTTGGTATATCTAAACAGCGTATTTGGTTACAAGCGTGGCGTGTGTGGTTTTTTGGGCACGGCTATTACATAATAAATTTAATTGTATATCTTAGTAATTATGTAGCAATTTTTTTTTCAGTTTTCTGGACAAACCCCGGAAGACAAGTTTGGGGAATGAATCCTCTAACATCAAAACTATAGTTCTTACATTCCTTGAAGATCATGGCAGTGGCCACTGCCATGCCGTTCAATGTAGACACGAGCGACTCATCAGCTGGCGTAATTGGCGGAGATTGCTTTCAATAAGTAATCGATGAAAAATAAAATTCATAAAATCAATTTTCGATCACGATTAATTCTAATCTGAACGCGAGATAGGCATGAAAAATTTTCTCTAGACATTTTGAGATAGATGGCGTAGCTGAACGGTAACCCAGAAAGTTTGATCAGGAGACCTTAGCTAGCCTGGTCACCAATTACCTTTAAGGCCCGATAATGCAGGCGCGGCTATTTTGTGGAAAAGACACAGACGCAGGATGTATAGGATAGTCAAAGGGGTGGTGGTTGTCATCATTCGACGAGTTCCATGCGCGAGGGGAAAGCATGAAAACCCTGCAGAGCGAAGTAGGCTGTGATGGCAGCGCATGCATCCTACTGCTTGAGGTCGTCTTCCCCGTATCAAGTAGAGGATTATGCAGGATTCATATCATTTTATTAGCTAAGTATATGATCATGGAGAATTTCTCGACTCTATATGAGACTATACACAATTGACTCAATTTTATGAAATACAGACTTGATTCCTCTGGCCGGTGGGGTTCAAGCCTGGCTACAAATCATCAAAATTTACATCGCAAGTGCAATTTTATATTATTTAACAGGACTTGTTCCTCACTATCTATGAGAAAATATTGGGAATTAAAATGGTTGAATTTATCGAAATTTGTTTGTATCTTTCATTTAGAAGCTAGAAGTCCTCTATAGTCGTAGACTCAGATAGAACTATAATAAAAATCTAATCTAATCTTATATTATTTATGTTTGGAATTAGACTCCCTTCTCTTTGAATGCTAAGACCAGGTCTGTGGCAAGCCGAAAAAACTTGCACGAATTGATGCAGTGCGAGGACATTTGAATGTGTGGGCAGTCGACAGCAGCGCCCGGAAGCACTGGATTGTTCTGGCAAGTATCTGTTCAGGTGAGGGACGATGGCGCTGCTTGCCGTTTATTTCAAGCGTTGTCTCCTCTGCCGGGAGCTGGGCGGTGAGCAGACTTGTCTCGCACAGTCGGGGCGTCAGTGGGAGCACCGCCACGTCGGGTGGCCGAGATGGACTAAGCATAGCGCTACGTGAGCTTTGGTCTGGCTTAGTGCACCGGCATAATGGTCTTAGCAGAACTACCAAACGCAGGCTCGACCACGAAAGGACTGAGGCGTAGTCTGGGTAGCTATCTGGTGGCATTGCCGCAGACGGCTGGGGTGACAAGCGAAGCACCACGACATGGGGCCAGCTGCGACGTAGATTCCTGGCCGATCGTTGTCTCAGCGGCTCGTCTAGCAGGGACTAGGGCGTGTCACATGCTACAACTTGACCTTCCTAGGCATGTGCGTGCAACTAAATATGTTGAGTTGCCGATCACTCCCTCGTAGAAACATGTCAGTTAGTAGGGTCCAAAAACTTGTCAGTTATAATCTCTACGAGCCTGGCAATCAATTACTCCCTCATGGTCAAGTTCAGTCGAATTTCGCGATACCAAATATGCTGGCTTACTAGATAGTGATTCATGACTCACTACAGCATCATTCTTTCGCTCCCAACAAGACCGATTCCGCTGAAGCCTAGTCAAGTCTTCAAGTGCGATCTAGTACATCTCCGTTTCCACGACCACATCTCTTGTCAAACCAGTATCCGGCCTCAAACAACCACCACATATAGGGCCAGGATAACATTAATACCCGCTAGAGGAAACAAATCGAGCTGCAAAAATCTGGGAGCCAAATATTTTGGATGTATGTGAAAGACATGAGGACATGTCAAGAAGATGCTAGGGATAGATACAACCTTGGAAGGGGTTAGATTTTGATTTTTACAGAGGCGTTTACCGGTTGATTATTGTGCGTTTCACAAATTCATTTTTGAGGATGCAAACAACCTTGTGAAAATTTCCAAAGTTTGAAGGTGAAGTGGTATTTCATTCAGTAAGACCTTACAACTGGAGCAAGGATGCACTCTACACCTATCCCAATATACAAGAGAATTGCTAGCTGAACCTAGTCAAAAATTGGCTCTTCCTGCGCGGTAAGCGTTTAAAGTATGTGAAAGTCATACTTGCATAATTGGGAATTTTAAATGTTGCCTCTCGTGGACGCATGTCGATGAAGGTTCAGAATACTCTGTGATCAATCGTTGTTGATAACGATAGATCCGAATGTAGTCCAAAGCATAGGTACTTATTTTGTTACAGACCCCTCCAGAACATAAAAGAAAATTATCTTTAACTCTAGTCAGATAACTAAGTACCGGTTATCATAGCTAAATAGCCAAAAATTTGAATTTAAAAAAAGTATGTACCGAGATTTAATTCATAGACCGTTTATCTTCTTTATCTGAAAGCATGATGACTCTGACGATGCGTATTTTGGTTGATTTTTATAGTACTACTTGAATCATAGACTATCCAGCACATTGAGCTCCTCTGGCCTGTGCCACACCTTGTAAAGTGCTCCTATCCTCTTTTATTACTTCAAAGATCATTGATATATTCCCCTTGATGAATAGCCATTCAGCTCAGCATTTATACGTGGAATTCAGCCACATTTTGGGGGACTGTTCTCAACACCTGTCAGTGATATCACCTACGAACCTCCAGCTCTCACTGTAGAGTCTGCAGAGCCGAGATTGAGTAACAAAGGTTTCACTTCGAGGAGGATTCCCAATCGCTTTCGCGGTCTGTATCGTCTTCATCTCTCAACACATTCCTCTATCACCATTATCATGAAGCTAACCACGATAATATCAGATCGTAGGGTCGGAGCCCTACTCATCACCAACCCTTGATCATGGAGGAAAAGCAATCCGATGAGTTTCCGGAGCGTACCCAGCACCCGATAGGGAGAAGGCGGATTGTATCAAGTCGACCTCGACTGCTACAAAGAAGGGAGATATAAATGAATATGCGCACCTCATGTGGTCCCGGTGTCTAGGTCTCGCTCGGCTGGGGCTGCAGGTTTTTTGAGACCTTTTCCCGCGCACGCAGTTTCCCTTGCTACTATTTTGATTTTTTGGGGGTAGAAGGTTCCGTGGAAAAGGTGGCCGAATTCCACGGGTAAACACTGAGCTAAATGGCTATTCATCAAAGGGGAATATATCAATGATCTTTCGAGTAACAAAAGAGGCAAGGAGCACTGTACAAGGTGTGGCCTAGGTCAGAGAGGAGCCCAATGTGCTAGATAGTTATAGACTCAAGTAGTACAATAAAAAAACACAAACAAACACACAATTTTTTTGGAAATTCGAATTTTCGAATATTCACCTTTTCCCCCTCTCCCTCCCTCTCGCGCTCGTCGCATTCCTTCAGTAAGTTGTAATCGAATCACTGGCATTTTCATCATGCCACCTGTTCGAAAAAAGCTCCCCAACTCAATGTTGGACAACGCGAGAGCTCGCCCGAGGGCTCCTGCAAAAACACCTGGCCTCACAAAAATTATCAAGCCTATTTGCGAGTGAGGCCTTTATCCCTGAGAAGCCTTCCACACTTCCACACTTCCCGATCAAGAGATGACTGATTCTGACCCGATCAGAACAGAAACAAATGGTCAACAGACCGCGAAACCTGCCGAGCTGGCCCCCGAGGCAAGCAGTTTCAGGAAAGGAAAGGAGGTCGTCAGAGAAAAGACGACCGAACGTGCAGGATTGCCTGCCGGAAAAAATGCCGTGCCAGTCTCAAAAGGCGCAGCTTCGACTACAGCGATGGAATATCCCCCTGAGCTGCAATCTGTGATGGAGGCCGAAAAGCGGCGTACGACGCAAATTATGGCCCGCCTCGCCATCTGCTCGACTGCAATAAACAGTGTCAAAGCAGCACTTTCGCCTCTCTCGATCGGCGAGAATAAAGAATTCGTAGACGGCATAAAAGTCTACCTACGAGCGGCCATTGGCCAGTTTGTACAATCAGGCCCAGGGACCATACAACCGATTCTCCCTACTCGCCCCAATAACCCTCTTCCGACGAGGGCTTCAAAAATTAGGGCTCAAAATCTTTCGACGATCCAGGCTCCGGCACCAAAGACGACTTGGGCCACAGTAGCCCGTGCAGGTCTAGGCCGCAGCGCTGGGCCGTCGGCTACAAAGGCAGCACCGCCGGCTCCAAAAGCAAAAAGTGCCAATCCGAGGACAAAAGTCGACGCGAGACTTTTTCTACGCCTCAAAATTAACCACCCTCACCGACTCCTGTCACCAGCTGGCGTAAGATTAGCTGTGTCACAGGTGCTTGGTACCGCTGCCGACGACATCACGTTGGTTCAGCGGGTCAAAACAGGCTTTGCACTGACAGCAAAGAATGAACTCGCTCGGAAAGAGCTCCTAGATTCCTCCATGTCACGGAGCGAATCTGGAATCAAACTGGAACCAGCGTCAAATCTGGTTGCCTTGTAAATTGCCACCGTACCGGTGACAATAAATACACTTGCAGGTCCCATCGAGATCACGGCAAAGATGGTTGCTGACGAAGTCACGCGAGTGACTAAATCGGTTCCGTTTCTTGTCCGTCCGCACGGGTACTGCAAGCCTGGGGCGCCATACGAGAACTGGCAAGCCCTCTTTCCTCGCGAGTCCACCCCCCGACCTGGATTCCGCCTCTTCGACGATTCTAGAGCTGCGAAGCTCTTCCGACCTCGTCACCAACTCGAACAGTGCAAAGGTTGTGTTAGCTATCACGCCAGCTGCGGATGCTCTCGCTCTCCAGCTTGCTGGAACTGCGGCTCAAACATGCACTCGGAAGTGGAGTGCAAGGCCC